TCACATCGGCCGAGCTACGAGTACAAAAAGGTAAGCAGCAACGCTATGCTTTATAGCTACGGAGTGGCTTAAGTAGATTCTAGACTGCTAACGACTGACCCTCTTTTCGTGCGGACGCAGATCTTTCCGAGCTATCCCTAGGATCAACGATGAAGACGATATTTGCCGACCCAGATGACATCCTCAACTTCGTGCTCGAAATCACGCCTGACGAGGGTATCTACCACGGCGGGCGGTTCACCTTCACGTTTACTATGGGCCCGACTTACCCGCACGAGCCGCCCAAGGTTCGCTGTCAGCAAAAGATCTACCATCCAAACATCGACCTTGAAGGCAAGGTTTGCCTGAATATTTTGCGCGAGGACTGGAAACCGGTACTTAACCTCAACGCCGTCATAGTAGGCCTGCAATTCCTCTTTCTCGAACCCAACGCATCCGATCCTCTGAACAAGGAAGCTGCGGACGACCTACGTTCAAGCCGAGAAGTCTTCCGACGAAATGTGCGCCTTACTATGATGGGTGGCACGATACGCGGTGTTACGTACGATCGTGTGGCCCCTAAAGCTTAGTTCCGCCTTTGAAGTACTTTCGGCAGGCTTGGTATATTCCACCTCATCAGGTGCATGGGATAGCCAAAGTAGAAACGAACACTATGGTATAACAGCCCAACTCGGGTTAGCTGGCTTCTTATCAGTGTTATAAGAAGTAAGTAGAGTGGGATGGCAAATTCAAGAAGAAGGATTTAGACTGGCTTTGCGGACGGCATGCAGCAAGGCGTTTCTCGAGGGACCGCATTTACATTAAAGCATCAAGGAGGCTACTTGTCTTCTCTGCTTTTTGGTATCTTGTGGTGATAATGCATTTCTGACAACCATACATGACGAATTGCATGGCGGCAACTGGCCGCATCACGATAGACAGATACTGGTGTGTGAATTCGATGAAATTGATCTATCTCGCGATATTATCTATATCCTGCATGTGACAAATTGATCTCCAGCGTCTCCGGAAGTACCGTATGTGCTTATACCCGATGATTTCTAGGGGTTAGACTTCAGATCTTGAACTTCAGCGATTACAACCCGATCGTCACCGCCTATTAAAAACGTGCCCTTACTTTAGTCGCAAGGGGTGTAGCGAAATAGTATCTATACTAAGAGGCGCGGGGTATACTATACCATAAAATATGTACCTATACCATATCATACCACGTCGACCGCATGCACCCCAGGCCCACCTGCTTGACCGGTCCGGCCAATAAACCCCACCATGGACAGCGGGCAGCCGATTGATTCGACTCACCGCCGAAGTCGCAGTCCAAGCTCTTTAGCAGCAGCTCCCGAGACCCTGGGAAAATAAAAATTTATACAAAAATTGAAAAATCTTTAACATTGACAGGTCAATCGCATTTGTAGCCATATAATACTCCTTGAGTTCTCCTCCCACACCTCTCAACCCCAATCTCCACTCACTCAGTAAACTTCCTTCACGATGGCTTCACGAGGGTTTTCTAAGGCTCTTCGCAGCCAATTGGCCCGCCGAGTGGCTTCCCCCGCCGTTCAGAGCCGTTCGTTCGTCGCTGCGTCGAGCCTCGTCCGAGCTACCCCCAAGGCCCGGCCTGCTGTCGCTAGTGCCGTGTACCAGCAGGTTCGTGGTGTCAAGACCATTGACTTTGCTGGAACACCCGAGGAGGTTTATGGTAAGTTCAGTTGATCATAATATTAGCGATACCGTAATATTCATAATATTAGCTAACACTACTTTATAGAGCGTGCCGACTGGCCCAAGGAGAAGCTCTTGGTGAGTCATTGGGATTCTATTCCTAGGAAAATTTTACGAAGACAACCGCTAATCCCCTCGAAAGGAATACTTCAAGAACGATACCCTCGCCCTCATCGGCTACGGTTCCCAGGGCCACGGCCAGGGTCTTAACCTCCGTGACAACGGCCTGAACGTCATCATCGGTGTCCGAAAGAACGGCCAATCGTGGAAGGACGCCGAGCAGGATGGCTGGGTTCCCGGCAAGAACCTTTTCGAGGTTGACGAGGCTATCTCCAAGGGTACCATCGTCATGAACCTCCTCAGTGATGCTGCCCAGAGTGAGACGTGGCCCGCTATCAAACCCCAGCTGACCAAGGGCAAGGTACGCTAGTATGAGTCACCAATCTCGGGAATCATGAAGCTAACCAATTCGCAGACACTGTACTTCTCGCACGGTTTCTCTCCTGTCTTCAAGGACATCACCAAGGTCGACGTCCCCAAGGACATTGATGTCATCCTCGTTGCCCCCAAGGGCTCTGGCCGAACTGTCCGATCGCTCTTCCGTGAGGGCCGTGGTATCAACTCCTCGTACGCCGTCTACCAGGATGTCACAGGCAAGGCCGAGGAGAAGGCCCAGGCTCTCGGTGTTGCCGTTGGAAGTGGTTACCTCTACAAGACTACCTTCGAGAAGGAGGTGTACTCTGACCTGTATGGTGAGCGTGGTTGCTTGATGGGTGGTATCCACGGTATGTTCCTCGCCCAGTATGAGGTTCTTCGCGAGCGTGGCCACAGCCCCAGCGAGGCCTTCAACGAGACTGTTGAGGAGGCCACCCAGAGCTTATACCCTCTCATCGGCGCCAACGGTATGGATTGGATGTACGAGGCCTGCTCTACTACCGCCCGACGTGGTGCCATCGACTGGACCCCCCGGTTTAAGGACGCCCTGAAGCCCGTCTTCAACCAGCTGTACGACGCTGTCCAGGACGGTACCGAGACCAAGCGATCGCTTGAGTACAACAGCCAAAAGGACTACCGACAGAAGTTTGAGTCGGAGATGGAGGAGATCCGCAACATGGAGATCTGGCGAGCCGGCAAGGCTGTGAGGTAAGAATACTTCTCTCCTTTCTGGGATTTCTCAACAAATATAAACTCGTATTGATCATTGATGGCTAACCGCTTTACCTACACAGGTCTCTCCGACCCGAGAACCAGAAATAAATGCATTTGGAGTTATAAAGAAAAAATCGGGATGGTATACTAAACGGCGAAGGCATATTCCCCAGGCAAAATAAGAGTTTTTGTACTTATATTCGGGATTTCCCAGTGTCATCATCTCTCGCGAGGATCTTCGGATATGGACTAAAAGTGAACTCACCCTATTGTTGAGTTTTTGAATGAAGTTTTTACGAATTCCATCGTCGTCTTTTGAGATCGCTTTTCTTTCCCGCGGATCTTTGAAGTTCTATTCCTCTCCGTTATCGGACCCTGATGATAACTAATCGTAGATTTTTGACTGGATCGAGCGAGTCGTGCCAGTTAGGGCTGAGGACCAGAGCACCTCGATCAACCAAGTTACCTAGTTCTTGCAGCTCCCAGTACCATACATAACCCGGCCAGCCAGCTTGGAAGTCTCCGAGGAGGATTCACTGCAGCCCAATCACCGTAGACAGGTCCCGGTTTATGTAAACTACATAGGCTTTATTCATTCATTCGTTAATTCGTTCACTCTCTATTCGATTTGAGTTCTTTTGCTTTTCCGCGTCGTAGAGCAGGTCGCCCGCATCTCGCAAAGCGCAAAGCCGGGAGTAAAGTCGCAACGTCCAAAAATGGCAGACCCCTCGACCTCGCCGCCGTTAACCCGGGCCTCGGTGGCGGCGGCGCGGGAGCTCATCCGCCCGTTCGTGCACCGGACGCCGGTCGTCAGCAGCTCCTCGCTGTCCGCGCTTGCTTCTACGCCCGGTTCCGGTTCCGGCTCCGCGCATGGGAGTGGGAACGGGAGAGCGAAGCCGAAGCTTCGGCTCTGGTTCAAGTGCGAGAACTTCCAGAAGGTCGGCGCGTTCAAGGCCCGCGGCGCGTTCCACGCTATCGAGCGCCTGAAGCTGGAGCCTGGGTGGCTTGCGGGGGGAGGTGCGGAGAGGGGTGTTGTTACGCATAGCTCTGGTTGGTACTTTTTCGTTATTATTATTTTTTATGTTCTGGTTGTTTCTTGGTTTGGGGCTTAGAGTTTGCTGTGTGAGAGAGAGAGAGGTCGTGGGTTCGGGTTGGGATTAAGTGAGCTTGCGAGAAGTGTAGAAGAGAGAATGGCGTGGGATCTGGGTAGTCGATGAAGAAATCGCAGTGATATATATAGGGGAAAGGGGGAGAGGAGGTTTGTCATAGGCTTTGGTCGATTTGGTCTGCCTGGTAGATAGTGACGGTGTGAGACATGAAGAGAGGAGATACGGTTGGGATAAGTTCACGAAACGAGCCTCCTGAATCGGTGGAATATTCTGATTGCAATACCCATTCTCCTGCCCTTCCTATTCACGATCTTTATGGTTGCACGCTTGCATACGCAACATTAAGAGGCTTTCTACTTTATTTTCCGCACTTTTTCATCCTACTCTAAACCAGATACGAACTACGATCATAGAATACTAACAATCCAAGGCAACCATGCGCAAGCACTCTCGCTGGCAGCGCGCGAAAACGGTATCCCAGCATATATAGTGATGCCCTCGATCTCAGCACCACCAAAGATCGCCGCGACCAAAGGATATGGAGCAAACGTCGTTTTCAGCGGCAGCACGAGCGTCGAGCGCGAAGCCGTGACGGCAAAAGTCATTGAGGAAACGGGCGCGCGCCTAGTCCCGCCTTACGACCACCCAGACATCATCCTCGGCCAGGGCACCCTCGGCCTCGAGTTCCAGGAGCAGGTCGCAGCACTGATGGCCGAGGAGGACGAGAAACCTGGCATCGAGAAGAATGCAAAAAGTGGAGAAAATAAGCCCAAGGGCAAGAGAAGTCTCGACGTTATCCTAGCTCCCTGTGGCGGCGGTGGAAGTAAGTACCTAACGTAACTTTTGCTTTTTAAGTTTATCGTTCGATGTTGTTTTCCTATTTTGTCTCGTCTCGGGGGCCACCAAAGTTTACGACGGAAGTTTGTGCTTTTGGAACCCCCTCTGCACCGGGACCTGACTAAACCCTGACCCTCTGTGCAGTACAGCATATAATTGATTGTAGGACGCAAAATTAACAAGTGCCCATTGGCCCAGCGGTCAAGGCGTCTGACTGTTAGTTCAAAAACAATTTGTTCCAACGGATTATCAGAAGATCCCTGGTTCGATCCCAGGATGGGCAGCTTTCTTTTTGCTATTTTTCGCCCTTAATTTTTTTTTTTGCATTTATATTTTCTTGGCTTTTACTTCACATTATCTATAGCTTCTTATTTTTACTCTTTCTTTTTTTTCTTCCCTCTATGGAATTCACGATATGGTCCTTACTAATTCTTCCTTCCTGTTGCAGTGCTCTCAGGCGTAGCTCTCTCATGCGAAGGCACCGGGATCCGCGTCTTTGGCACAGAGCCCTCGTTCCAGGGCGCCGACGACGCCAAACGGGGCTATGAATCGGGTGTCCGCGTCGAAGCTGTATCGACATTGACGGTAGCCGACGGCTTACGCACGCCTGTCGGCCGTGTTCCCTGGTCTGTGATCTACGAGCGCCGCCTCGTATCCGGCTTCTTCAGCGTAGAAGAGCGCGACATTAAGCGCGCTTTGCGACTAGCCTACGAGCGCTTAAAGGTCGTGATCGAACCTAGCGCCGCTGTGCCTCTTGCTGTCGCCCTGTACAACGAAGACTTCCGAGCCATGGTAGAGCGTGAGGCGGGCGATGACGGCTGGGACGTAGGAATCGTCTTCAGCGGAGGCAACGTCAGCTTAGATGCTTTGGGCAAGCTGTTCGCTGAGGAGGACGCTGCTTCTGAGGTAGCCAAATAAATGCAAGAAGCTCTTCTCATATGTGAAGCGGGTATGGATATTTGCTGTGGTATTGGTAGATCGGATATCTCGAATATAAATAAATATATGCGATACATACAGGTACTTTTGGCCTGTATATTAAAACAAAAATGACGCTATGATAATCAAGAACGCTCTACATGTTTCTGACTTACATGTCTCGGAAAGCAGATATGAGCGACGGCGTTACGCTACGTCGTAAATGGGTTCTGTAAAGGCCTTACTCGCTTAAAAAATCCAAGGACTGCAGATTCATTGATTTAGAGCCTTGTCCATCTGCTCTCTCCACTTCCGACTGTTCTTTCTGAGGAGCCAGATACAGATGTTGCCGCTTAGCCAGGCGATTAATGCTAACATTGTACACAACCACCCGACGCCCATGGCATCGATAAGGGGTTGGCCGATTATACCGCCCGCGCAGCTAAAAATATTCCGCACAAAGTTGTTGAGGGCGACGCCATTACTGCTCTTTCGCGGCATGAATTCCGTGAGCATGGTAGTAGCCGCACTGAACACGAGCATACTTCCGACGCCGAAAAAGAAGTTGGCCACGCATGGCGCCATGAAGTGGACGCCGTACTGTATCGTCCAGCCCGACCATATTAATGCACCTGGGTAAAGCGTCGCAGAGATCCAAGCGTTCTCGCGCATTCGGTCTTCGGGTAGATATATGAGTTTCCCGTTGGCGTCGTAACGTTGAGCCTTCTCCGCTGCACGTATCATAATGCGGTCGATCCATCGCCCACCGAGCACCGACGCTGCGAAATACCCTAGGGAGCCTGGCAAGTACAACAACCCGATGACGATGGCCGAGTAGCCGTACGGGGCTTGCGAGAATGCTGATTGGATTACGATGTTAAGCACATATAATGATCCAAAGGTGATCGCGGCGTAGTAGACGGTTATTGCGACGGCAGGAAAACGGAGGTACATGATTATCTCTAATGGGTCGACGAAGCATTGCTTGATCTGTACAAACACCTGCTTAGTGACTACCTGTACGGAGCGTGTAGTAGGGACGCGTGACAAGTCGTTAGGCTGTGATGCTTCAACTACGGCAGCGGGCCGGCGCTTTGCCAACGTCTCCGGTATGCAGAATAGAACAAGCACAAAAACGACGGCGCCGTACGCGGTAAGAAACCACGAGGTACTCCTCCAACCGAAACCTTCCGTGAGAGCGCCGCCGATGATAGGCGCTAAAAGGGGTCCCATTAGTGGTCCTAGGTAGAAATAGCCCATGGCGCGTCCACGTTCTCGAGGTTCCCATACGTCAGCTATGGTACCGGCGCCGACGGCCTGGACAGACGCGGCGGCTCCGCCTGAGAGGATACGAAATACGATCAGCATAGCGGTATTGACGCTTAAGCCGCTCAGCAGGGAGAAGACAACGTTTAGAAAAAAGGACGAGAGATAAATATTACGTCGTCCTAGAGCCTCGGAGAAGGAGCTCCACCAGAGTGGAAATATTGACATTGCTAACATATATAAGGCTACTGTCAAGTTCACCACTGTCGGGGAGGCGTCGAGGTCCTTGGCCATATCCGGAAGCGCAGCTAATACGATTTACGTGAGTCTTATAGTATTCCATGACGAGAGAGAGAGAGAGATGATTATGCCACGGTAGGCGTAATAGGAAGTAGGTATATAATTGCTTACGATAGAAAATTGCGGACCCCATCGGCGCTGCACACGCTGCAAGTGCTATGAATGCGGTTATTGCCCACTTAATTCTGTTTGGATAGTCATACGGCCGTTCGACCTCTGGAATCAGTGTCAACTGCGAGAACAAACCGCGCCGCTTCCGTCTTGGCACTATAGATTGCGGCCGGGACCGAGTTGACGATGCTTGTGACCGTGCCCGCCCCGTTGGTGGTGTAGCTGCCGCTTCTTCGTCCGCCGGGATGCCATTCGAAGTCAATAGTTGGTCAGGAATAGCTTCTACGGAGTCCTTGGTCGTAATGGACGCTGTAGCATCTTCATCGTTTTGGCGTGTTCTATGCAACCCACTATCTTCTGTCTTCTCGTCCATCTTTTCCGATTCGATGGCCATAGCTGGAGAGCTTCTACTTAGTAGAGCATTAACTGAGATTAAGCGCTAAGCCATAGGTCTGATAACCGAGATCGGTGGAATAGGGCCGAAGCCGAAGAAAGAGTCTTCAATGACGATTAAAATACTAAATAAAGCCCTTCGAAAAACTTGTATCCTATGTAAGTGTGAGAAGTTGCCAAGGCAATGGAGATCCTTTGTTAAGAATATGGAGATTAGGAATTATGAAATAAGGAGCAGGGAATATGGGGATTATTCAGGGGAGGGGGAAGACAATGAATAGCACGATTCGGCTGCATGGTGTAGTTACCTATGAGTGGACCGTAGAATGATACTAATAAGCAGACGCTACTGTTACGGCAGGACAATTCCGTACTTTAGCTTATGTGGAGAAGAAGCACAGAAACGGGAATTGCGCCTGTGTATGAAATGCCGAGAAGCCCGAGAATCATGAACGGGGGTTAGTGATTCCATTCGGCTAATGGTTCCGATACGCCTGACTTTAGGGACGCGATCCTCATCGCTTAGCTCTAGGGGCCTACAGGGTTGCAATACGGCGATCCTCGGGACGTCAAGACGGATGCGTGCCGACATTAGATTCGTAGCATATCCATGTCCGCGGAACGCATCGCGGAATCGAAATCCGAATCCATGACAGCACTTATAATCCCGACACCTTGCTGACGTCCTTAACCATTACTGAGGATTCGCATAGTATTGTCATACTACCAACGTTGTAGTTGTCCCGTCAAGCTGGCCAATGGATTGCTTATACACGGCCACGTCGTCATGAAGCCTCATTGTACGACTCGGAAATAAGCTGTATCATAAGAGATCGGGACCGTCTTGTCATGCAGAAGAGGTCGGAATGACAGGTGACCATGGTTATGGGATATGTAAGAGAACATCCGGCGGCCTGTGTGAGCCAATTGGTGTCATACTGCCTATCATGATATCGAAATCCCGTCTAATCGATGGCGAGACGTTACCAGCTAGCACGGCCGTTCAGGAGGCGAATTCTACTAACCATTGGAACCGGAGACTATGTGAAAGGCGAGAGCGAAGAGCGAAGGAGATTCCCGAAGTCAAGTCGAACAGCATGAGCAAAATACGAAATATAGACACAATACTACGCGACAGGGTATGAAGTAATACATAAAAGTGCATCGCGAGAACGACTATACGTTGTAAGAAGGTTAAGGTTACTACGAGTTGTTGATGGTTGTGTGACATCCATGGATCTGGACATGCGATGCGGATGATAAATGGCCCTACATATACAGAATAAAGGTGGAAGAGCGAATTTGGAATGGACGAATGTCTCACTTGTCGCGTTGTGTGCGACCTCTGCCTGTACCTACCGATTTTGGAGGCTGAGGTCTAACTGTGGCTTACCCCCAATCAGGGCCCAGTATCCCCTGGGTACTTGCATGTACTTAGGTTAGTCCCCTACCGAGTTTCTACCGTAGAGCCTACCGCCAATGACCTTTACGGTTAGCCGGCATTAGCCACTCTCGTGTCACTCTTTGACTTTGTTAAGGAAGACTCTTCCGATATAGGCACATCCAATATTGCCCAAAATCGTAGGTGGTAGCAGCAATGTCTCTCACAAACGCATCTCCTGCAAATGCTGCTAAGGCAGCAAAAGAAGCGTCACACATTCTTGCTACGCTGTCAGAATCTGCAAGAAATGATGCTCTGACAGCTATCTACGCCGGTCTATCTGCGGCCAAAGATGACATACTCGCCGCCAATGCTCGTGACCTCGAAGCCGCACGTTTGGCAGCAGAAAGTGGCCAGTTAAGCCAGAGCTTGGTTTCTAGGCTAGACCTGGGTAAGAAAGGAAAATGGGAGGATATGCTGAAAGGGATATTAGACGTTCGAGGTCTCGAAGATCCCGGTGAGTCACTAATACCATTGCCAAAAGTGCATTCAGCTAACTATATCAAAGTTGGGAAAGTCACGTTAAGAACGAAATTGGATGATGGATTAGAGTTGACAAGAGTCACCTGTCCCATTGGTGTTCTTCTCATCATTTTTGAGGCAAGACCTGAGGTTATCGCCAATATCGCTTCCCTCGCCGTGAAGTCAGGCAACGCTGCTATCTTGAAAGGCGGGAAGGAGTCTACCGAATCTTTCATCGCCATCTCCAAAGTTATATCGGCGGCTCTCGACAAGACGAAGGTTCCCAACGGTGCCATCCAGCTCGTCACTACAAGGGATGTGATCCCGCAGCTGCTGGACCTAGACCAATACATTGATCTCGTGATTCCCCGTGGTTCTAACGAATTGGTCCGA